TTTTTTTTTGTTTTCCGTCCGACAGGTTGTCTTCCTTTTTTTTTTTTTTTTTGGTCCCCCCCTCTTTCTCCCCTTTAGTTGAAAACTACTAAGATATCATTTTGTGACCTTGACTTTATATTAAAAAAAAACCTCTCATCTTTATTTCATTTCTTTTCCCCATGTGATATTTGTTTAGGGTTCTATTTGGGCAACTTTTTCTTTAAAAAAAAAAAAAAAGTCAATTTTTTTTGTTGAGGATTTGGTTGACGTTTAAAATTTTGGCTCTATCTCCTTTTTTTGTTCTTAAGTTTCAAGATATATTTTTTCAGGCCCATAGCCTCCTTTCTTTCCCCCCACTTTTCTTTATTTTTATTATTGTTTTAGGTTAAGGGTGTTTACACCCCCCCCTTCTCTTAAGTTGTTGCTTTCGTTTAATTCCTTAGAAATTAAATTTTGTATAATTTCCTTTTTCTTTTGTTTAATCTGGATCGCATGCTTTTTTCTCTGCATGATACCTAAATCTTCCAGTTATCCTAGCAGGGGGTAAAAAAAGGATCTCTTTTCTGTGGTATTCTTTCAGGAATTTGTGCTTTTGTTTTTTGGCGTCTCTTCTTTCCTCTCCTCTCTCTCTTTCCTTTCGTTACAGTACATCATGATGGTAAACATTTCTTGGTTATTTAGACACAGCCCGCAGACCCAGCGCGCAGCAGTGTCCGACGGGTGTTTTTGCTTTCAGATCACTGGGCCGGGGGCTGCTGCTCTCTTTACCAGAACTGCCAGGCTGCTCGCCACGTCCCGAGGACGCTCCCAGGAGTATGACTCGGGCAATGACACCTCCTCGCCACCCTCCATGCAGATCAGCTCAGCCAGGTCTCGGGGTCAGGAGAAGGAGAGCCCCACTGGGGGCCTGAGCAAGAGCCGGGGCCCCAACAGCGGCAACACCTCTGATTCAGGGAACTCCTTCACCACCTCCTCCCCCCAGAACGAGGGGGCCGCTTTGGAGAATCTCTCCCCCACCAGCAGGGGCAGAGAGTCAAGGTCAGTGCACCTGGGCGGCAGGAGGGGCTCCTGCCTGAGCTCCACAATCTCAGTCTCTCACCCTAGCACTACAACACACACACAGACTCCAGCTCTTTTATTTGAGAGGAAGAGAGAGAGAGAGAGAGATTGGCATCATTTTTGAAAAAAACTATCCAAGGAGATCAGCTTCAGATACAGCTGGATCCAGGGTCTCAAAAAATATGTCATCAGGAATCTGTCTTTCCTGTTACATCTCTCAGTTCTGCTTCCCCCCTCTGGGCTTTATTTTCAAGCAGATCCTCCCAAAGCATTGGCAAAGATGCCCATCCAGTTAACATTCTATCGGTCTAGCCAGCCAATGGAAGGAAAATGCCTCTTTCCCGAGAATTTCAGCAAAATATCAGGGCAAGTGCTCATTGACTCTGCTTGGCCCAGCTTGGGTCATCTGCCCACACTAGACCAATCACACTGCCCAGGGGATGCAGTATTCTTGGCTAGAACTTGTCATATGCCACCATCAGGGCTAATGAGTCTTCCCATGTACACTAAAACTGGGGAATGTCTGGTTCTCTGAAGGAAAAGCAGGGTACTGTTATCAGGAGGAGGGATGGAGGCTGGGCAGGAAAAAACAGATATCAGTTTACCAATAATCAGAGGAGAAAGTCTCACATTTAAAGTCACTGTCATTTTAAAATATACCACAGTATTTACCCAAACGCATTGAAAATTTATGTCCATACGAAAACCTACACATGGATGTTTTTATAGCAGCTTTATTCATGCCCAAATTTGGAAGGAACCAAGATATCCTTCAATAGGTGAATAAATAAACTGTGGTCCATACACACAATGGAATACTATTCAGCACTAAAAAGAAACAAGCTACCAAGCAATGAAAAGACAGGGAGGAAACTTAAATCCATGTTACTAATAGAAAGAAGCCAATCTGAAAAGGCTGCATATTCTACGATTCCAACTATATGACATTCTGGAAAAGGCAGAGCTATGGAGACGGTGAAAAGATGAGTGGTTGGTTGCCAGTGGTGAGAGGGTGGATGAGGGATGGATCTGCCTGCCTCGGGGCATCCCTGGCCTCAGTTCACACCCAAGCTCGGCTGGGAGCCAGGGCTGGGCCAGAGCAAACGTCCATGTCTCCAAGAACAGGCAGTGATGTTCCCAGATACCTACTCGTATACTTCAGGGCTGTTATGCAGGAAATACCGAGAATAGCAATAACAACAACAAAAACAACAACAATAATAATAACGGCAGCTATTATTTATGGAGCCCTGAGGTACTACGCCAAGTGCTTTCCATAGATAATCTTCCTAAACTCCTTCTAAAACCTTTATGGGATAGGTTCTGTTATAATTCTTTTTTAGCTGATGGGGAAACTGAAGCTCAGAGCAGTTAAGAAACTCACTTAATAAAGGGCCGGCACCGGGGTTGAAACACAGATCTGTCTCCAGAACTGGAGTTAAGCCTGAATGGCATTTAGCAGTTACCTGCTTAATCTGATCTATGTGGACAGTCAAATTAAGTAATTTAGACCCAGCCTTTCACTGTGAAGTATAAATGATCTTTAAATCCGTGGCTATTTATGTCATGTGAGCTATGAGCAGAGAGCAGAATGGAAGAGACATCAGCTCTAAATCAGGGGAACCACAGACAGTAAAGGCAGGGGCTAGCAAGGTAGCAGGGACATGGGCTTCAGGGCTGGACAGATCAGGATTTGGGACTCTGGGTGGCCGTGAGCAAGCAACTCACCCTTCTGGGTCTTCTCTGTAAATAAGGGATAATAATAGTGCCAACTTCCTAGGGTTGTTGGGGGCTAAATGAGATGATGCTGTGAAGCTCCCAGGATGCGCAGAGGCTCAGCCTGTTTATTCCACAGCTATTTATCAATGACCTAGGACATATGTCTCAGGCTCTGTCCTGGTGGGATACAGTGTCCAGAGAGACATGAGTCCTGTCCCCAGGGAGCTCCATGTCTGGGGGAGGGAGACAACAATTATAAGACCAAGCGAGCCATCTAGGGGTCGGGGGAGGCATTGGGGGCTGGGGGCTGTGATAACACATTGGAGGTCACACAACCAGTCTTAAGGGGGTCGAAAGCCTGAACCACGAGTAGGAGTTGTCAAGTGAAGAGGGTTCCAGGCAGTGGGAATGTTCTAAAGCCTGCAGACAAGGAAGGGAATAGGAATATTCCAGGAGGGACAAGTAGTCCTTTATGGCTGGAGTCAAGAGAGGAAAGTGCCAGAGCTGAGACTGGAGTATGGGCAGGGGCTGGGTCACGATGAAACTATATTAATGTTATTTGAACTTGACCCTTGGCCCAATCCCAATGAACATGTCCTTACTGAGAACCAACAGGAACCCAGCATGGCTCTAGGCAAGGTGAGACTATGACAGGGCCCTGTGCTTTGGGTGAATTTGAGCAGGCCTCCACCCTTCTTTGGGTCTCCATTCCCCCATCTGCAAAATGGGCTACGCCAGTTTCCCAACTACATGTCACTTTCTTGAGTCGTTCAGTATCCAGGTACTACTGCTACTCTTATTTACTTTAATAAACTCACCTTTTAATATAAGGAAACTTGTAGTACTATCTTAAATAGAAAATTTGTATCACCTGTCCTCAATAGACTGCACCTGTGAAAACACATAGGCTTCAAACAATGTATTTAATTCTGGTTAGTTACAGTTGCCTGCCCAAGGTTCTGAGTCTCAGGCCTGCTCTCTCTCTCTTTGGGAGATTGCAAGCATTAAAGAGACAGTAAAAACCCACTAGTATCCAACCCGGGCTTTCTCATTCATATAATCAGAGGTACTGAAAAAGACTGGAAAGGGACGAAATCTTCCACCATGTGATTTGATCGTACCCATCATGCACCCTGTGGTATGTGTCCTACTCTCTATCTCTGCTCCACTAACATCTGGGGAAAGGTGGATGGGGGTGGTTCTGAGAGCACCACAGCCGAGGCAAAGTAAGGAGGTGAGTAGCAGCTGAAGATGCCCTGGACCAGCGGGCGGGCCAGTGCTAACAGCCATTCTCCCCTCTGCAGAGGATTCCAGCCGCCATGTCTGGAGTGCACCGAGGTGAAGGAGTCCAGTTTGGACCCACCCCCAGCCCGGAGCCCCCCCATGAGAGGGCGCTCCCGCAGCTCGTCCTGTGCCAGCGCCCACTCCTCCGGATCTCCGAACCCCAGGGCCTCCCCCGGGTACTCCAGGAGCCGATCCACCTCCTCTGGGAAAAGGTGAGTGCAATTTTGATCTTGGCTCTGCAGCTAGTTAAGGTAACTGGAGATGTCGTTTGACCACCAAGCGACAGGAGTGGAACAGATTTGAGTTTGAATGCCCATTCTATCTATTACTCACTGGCGGCCTTGGTTGTCAGTTAACCTGTCTGAGCCTTAGTTTCCTCCCCTGCAAAATGAAAACCGTAACAATACTTACCCTGAAGGATTGTTCTGAGGACTATAAGACACTTAGATCAGTACTTGGAATATAATATCAGTTTTGATTGTTGTTATTGGCACGAGGATGCATTCATGTGTATCAGTTATCTTCTGCTGCATAAAAATTATGTCCCCAGTGTAGCATCCTTATCAATACGTTTTTCCTTGGTTCTTGATTCAGTGGATCAGCAGTTTGGGCTGGGCTCAGCTGAGTGGTTCTTCTTCTGTTCTCTCTTGGGTTCATGCATGTGTCTTCCTTCAGCTGGTGGGTTGTCTGGGGGCTGGCTGGTTTGAATGACCCCAGCTGATTCATCTCTGCTCCATGTGGCCTCACATCTTCCAGCAGGCTTGTCTGGGCTTGTTCACATGGTGATGGCAGGGTTCCAAGAGACAGCAGTAGTGTGTAAGGCCTCGGCTTGGAACGGGCATGACCTATTCAGTTGTTTTCTTAGCCACTGCAAGTCAGAGGGCCAATCCAGATAGATGCAAGGGATGCTCCTCTTAGTGGGAGGAACTGCGAAATCACACTGCAAGGGGCATGGATACAGGGAGGGGAATTGCGCCCATTTTTTTCACTTTACCATTCAATTCTAATAACCCCTGGTTATTGTTTGATTTTCTCATGTGGAATAATGATATGGCAGAATGCAGAGACATGCAATCTCAGGAACCGGAAGATTCCATCCAATCTAATCAACCCACAGCTTCATGGAGTCCAGCTTCCCTCTACAAACAAGAACTTCTGACAGCAACCCAACTCTTCCTCTTCTGCAACCGTATCAAAAAACAGTTGGCTTACGTAGGTGGTTACCTCAAGACCAGTTCATTCAAAATAAGGAGGCAAGGAAGCTAACAGAAGTATTCAACACGATAGAGTGACATAAGTAGAAGAGCAAATCAGGCTAAAAGGAAAACTGAGAGAAATAAAATTAAATCAGGAGGAAGGTTAAGCCCCAAAGGCATGTCCTACCATTCTGTACGGTTGGCCATCTGTATCTGTGGGTTTCACATCCCTGGTTATGAAAGGCCAGTGTATTCAATATACTATGCCATTTTATATAAGGGACTTGAGCATCTGCAGGTTCTGGTATCTGCAGAGACTCCTGGAATCAATCCCCCGCAGATACCGAGGGATGACTGTTGTTGCTATGGAGGTGTGCTGCAAATGTGACTCTGAGCTCCCTGGCAGACAAAGCAAAAAGGGAAACTGTCCCTTTACATTATTAACAAAAAAGATAAAAATTGAACCAGTTGCTTGGAAGAGCAGTTATTTCTGATTTTTAAGTATGAAAAATGATTCACATGGCTCCACAGAAAAGGGACACTATGTGGTACAGTGGATAGAAATGCCTGACGTCCTTTCAAAGTGTCCAAAAGCATTAATTCATCGTAACTCTTTTTTATAATGTCTCTCAATATATAGCCAAAGAGCAAGTTGGCAAAGCAAATTTTTCAGGGGCCATAGCTGGACACTGTCCCAGGGCACTAAGACTAGAGGAGCTATTCCTTGTCCACACTCCTTCCATCACGCTGGGCAACATGTAAGAATAGAGTCCCAAGGCGATGGTTATTATGATCACCTAAGAAAGTAGGAAGGGGCTAAGGAACACCTAGGTGACGGCAAGTCAGAGCAAGACTTCTTTTCAAACTGAAAAGGATAGGAAAACTTTGCTAGCATTCCTGTGAGGGAAAGCTGGCAAAAACAGAGCATGAGAGAGTGTCTCCCCCCCCTACTCATTCCTGTGCCTGTAGCAGACATTGCTAATCCATCACAGCCCTCTTTCCCACTGAACACAGACATGGCCACATAATCCCTCTGAACCCTGGCAGGAACTACTAGCAGATCAAATCAGCAACTGTGAGATGAAAATTATTTGAAAGACTGAGAAAGAAGGGTAGATGTTCCTAGGAAAGTGGTGGAGAAACCAAGGCAGTCGTTCTCTAAACGTGGGGGGCATTAGCAAGCGGGAAGAAGACTGGAAATAGCATAGGGGTTAGTAATCCGGATGCACAACAGTGTAGTCTAGCAGAAGTCAGGAGCACTTTGTAGCCAAACAGACCTGGGTTCAAACCCCTTACCAGCTGAGTGACCTGGAACAAATTATTGGGTTGGCCAAAAGGTTTGTTTGGTTTTTTCTGTAAGATGGCTCTAGTAGCACTTAGTTGTCTTTCACTTGATTCAAAACAATTTTGTTAGAGTGTATGTGACAGCTGTCATATCAGTGTGCATGAGGGAGGATATTTGGGGATATATGTATATGTATAGCTGACTCACTTTGTCATAAAGCAGAAACTAACACCATTGTAAAGCAATTATACTCCAATAAAAATGTTAAAAGGAAAACAATATATTAAAATTAATAAAAGTGTTAAATATAATTATATTAAATATATAAAATAAACTTTAAAAAAATAAAGTTTCAAAATTTCAAAGAAAAGACATCAAAATCGGTGAATTTTTGTGTAGCCACTTTAATATTGGAGATGGAAGAAAAACAGCATTTTTGGCATACTATTCTTTATGAGTTCAAGAAAGGTAAAAATGCAACTGAAATGCAAAAAAAGATTTGTGCAGTATATGGAGAAGGTGCTGTGACTGATCGAACGTGTCGAAAGTGGTTTGCGAAGTTTTGTGCTGGAGATTTCTCACTGGACGATGCTCCACAGTCGGGTAGACCAGTGAAGTTGACAGCGACCAAATCGAGACATTCATTGAGAACAATCAACGTTATGCCATGCAGGAGATAGCTGACATACTCAAAATATTCAAATCAAGCGTTGAAAATCATTTGCACCAGCTTGGTTATGTTAATTGCTTTGATGTTTGGGTTCCACATAAGTTAAGCGAAAAAAACCTTCTTGACCGTATTTCCGCATGTGATTCTCTGCTTAAACGTAATGAAAACGTTCCGTTTTTAAAACAAATTGTGGTGGGCGATGAAAAGTGGATACTGTTCAGTTGTCTGGAGCGGAAGAGATCGCGGGGCGAGCGAAATGAACAACCACACCAAAGGCTGTTCTTCATCCAAAGAAGGTGATGTTGTATATGTGGTGGGATTGGAAGAGGGTCCTCTACTATGAGCTCCTTCTGGAAAACCAAACAATTAATTCCAACAAGTACTGCTTCCAATTAGACCAACTGAAAGCAGCACTCAATGGAAAACATCCAGAATTAGTCAACAGAAAACGCATAATCTTCCATCAGGATACCGCAAGACCACATGTTTCTTTGATGACCAGGCAAAAACTGTTACAGCTTGGCTGGGAAGTTCTGATTCATCCGCCACCTTTGAATAAGACATTGCACCTTCGGGTTTCCATTTATTTAAGTCTTTACAAAATTCTCTTAATGGAAAAAATTTCAATTCCCTGGAAGACTGTAAAAGGCATCTGGAACAGTTCTTGGCTCAAAAAGATAAAAAGTTTGGGGAAGATGGAATTATGAAGTCGCCTGAAAAATGGCAGAAGGTAGTGGAACAAAAGGGTGAATATGTTGTTCAATAAAGTTCCTGGTGAAAATGAAAAATGTGTCTTTTATTTTTACTTAAAAAGCAAAGGCACTTTTTGGCCAACCCAATACATCATCTCTCTCTGCCTCTGTGTCCTCATCTATAGAATGGTGATTGATAATAGTGCCTAACCCTAGGAAATGCTGAGGATTAAATAAGATAATATACACAAAACATTAGTTCAATAAAAATAGAACTACCGGGCTTCCCTGGTGGCGCAGTGGTTGAGAGTCCACCTGCCGATGCAGGGGACGCGGGTTCCTGCCCCGGTCCGGGAAGGTCCCACATGCCGCGGAGCGGCTGGTCCCGTGAGCCATGGCCGCTGAGCCTGCGCGTCCGGAGCCTGTGCTCCGCGACGGGAGAGGCCACAACAGTGAGGGGCCTGCGTACGGCAAAAAAAAAAAAGAAAAAAATAGAACTACCATATGACCCAGCAATCCCACTACTGGGCATATACCCTGAGAAAACCATAATTCAAAAAGATACATGTACCACAATGTTCGTTGCAGCACTATTTACAATAGCCAGGACATGGAAGCAACCTAAATGTCCATGGGCAGATGAATGGATAAAGAAGATGTGGCACATATATACAGTGGAATATTACTCTGCCATAAAAAGGAACGAAATTGAGTTATTTGTAATGAAGTGGGTGGACCTAGAGTCTGTCATACAGAGTGAAGCAAGTCAGAAAGAGAAGAACAAATACCGCATGCTAACGCACATATATGGAATCGAAAAAACCGGTACTGATGAACCTAGTGGTAGAGCCGGAACAAAGACGCAGATGTAGAGAACGGACTTGAGGACACAGTAGGGGGAGGGGAAGCTGGCACGAAGTGAAACAGTAGCACTGACATATATACACTACCAGATGTAAAATAGCTAGCTAGTGGGAAGCAGCTGCATAGCAGAGGGAGGTCAGCTCAGTGCTTTGTGACCACCTAGAGGGGTGGGATAGGGAGGGTGGGAGGGAGGCTCAAGAGGGAGGGGATATGGGGATATATGTAAAGCAGAAACTAACACACCATTGTAAAGCAATTATACTCCACTAAAGATATGAAAAAAGAACATTAGTTCAAAATCTGGCACATAGTAGAATATATAATACTCATATAATAATAAACATGTCCTGTGTGCTGACTATATGCCAAGATGCTAAGTAATTTACCCTAATTTACACGTTTAATTTACAATTCTATGGGGTAAGTACAATTACCCCCATTTTACAGATCAGAAAGTAGTGGCCCAGAGGAGTGAAATCAACTGCCCAAAGGTCACACAGCTAACACGTGGCCAGGAGAGGAAGAACTCAGTAAGGGGAAGTTGTTGATATCATTATTAACCATCCAAAAGGGAGGGGATTTCATCCTCAGGTAAGGGCTTGGTTCCTTTGCCTGGCCTCCAGAAATAAAAAGGCCTGGAGACCAGCTGAATAAGACGCTGGACAGACGGGGCAAGCCCGGCAGAGCTCTGCAGGCCCCTCAGAGGCTGTCTCCTCTCTTGCAGGTCCTCCTCCCGCTCTCCCAGCTATTCCTCCAGCTCTGGCAAGAGGAGCCCGCCTAGCAGAAGCTCTAGGTCCCGCCGCAGCCCCAGCTACTCCCGCTACAGTCCCAGCAGGTACCGGCCCCGCCCCCAGTCACTGACCCCGCCCGTCAGGCTAGGCCCCGCCTCCCAGTCCCCTCTCGGACCCTCCTGTCTGCCACCGCCGCCTCGACTCGCTTCTCTGGAGCGTCTCCCAAGCCGCGCGAGTTCCTCTCAGGTCAAGCGCTGCCGGTTACGGATGGGAGATGACTCAGCATTCCTAGTGGCTCCCTTTGCCGTGTCTGGAGTGGCAGTCAGGCCCCCAGTACATCCCAGCGTTCTCATGTACTCACCCCAAACACCCCAACGGCCACACCCCAGCCCTCAGACTCTTCGCACACCTAATACTACCCCTCATCCCTATGTCCATACCCCCCAGGTTCTGATTCTTACTCGGCACCTGGGCCCACCTAACAGTCATATCCTCACCCTGCAATGCCCACCTTCAAAGGCTGACACCCCTACACACGTCCAGCTGCAAGGCCCTCCCCCGCCTCGGGTACCCACCCATCCATGCAGACTCTCCCTACAGCCGTGTCATTTTCCCTCCCATCTCCCCGGGGGCCCCGCGCAGACCCCATCCCTGCCCCAGCGGGGGGGAGGGCAAAGGTAAGGAGGAAGTGAGTTACCCCCTCCCACCGAAAAACCAGGCCAGCCCCAGCTCCCCAGTCACATCCCCACCGCACCCCTTCAGGGAGCGGGACCCCAAGTACAGCGAGAAGGATTCGCAGCAGCGGGAGCGCGAGCGAGCGCGGCGGAGACGTCGGTCCTACTCGCCCATGCGGAAGCGCCGGAGAGACTCCCCGAGCCACCTGGAGGCGCGGAGAATAACGAGGTGAAGCCAGGAGGCACCCACCTCCGCCCTCACTTCCACTCCCTTCCCACCCGCTGGGGTCTCGGACTCTCCCCAGGCCTCCTTGGGGCTGGATTGCAGGATTGTGGGCGCTCAGGGACACCCTGCCCCCCATCAGCCACCGAAATGAAGTTTCCGTTCAAAGCCTCGGGCGAGTCAGCACCCTCAGCCGCCTTGCGGGCCTGCAAGAAGAGGGCGGGGCCGTGGAGGCGGGGCCTAGGCCGGCGGGGTGGGGTAGAATGCAGTGGCTGGCAAAGGGGTGAGCCCAGCGGGAGGGATCGGGTGTGGCCGGAATCTGCGCATGCAGGGGCGGGGGAGGCGGGGCTGGGCCGTAGAAAGAGGTCCGGCCTTGGAATGGGGACCCGAGCAAGGAACAGAACCGGGACTTTGCGTGGGGGCGGAGCCGGGCGGGTGGCAACAGACCTCCGCCCTTACACCCACAGCCCGAATGCAAGGCTTGAATAGACCCATAGGTAATTATACCCTGAACCAAGTGTAGGGAGGGCAAACTGGATTGTTTAGGTGCCAAAAAGACTGGGAGGGAGCCCTAGTGAGTAAGGGGAGGAGCACTGTTTCGGAGAGGAATCTTGGCTCTGCCACTTTCCAGGTGAGCTGGGAAGGTCTCTTCATCTCTCAGAATCTAAGTTTTCTCACCCATGAACTATTGGAGGAAATAACTCCCAGAAGTATCATAAGGATGAAATGAAAAGGGGCAAAGAGATGTGAATGCAGTTTTTAAACTTACATGCAGAACAGTAGAGCCCACTGTGTTCCACTGTGATGGACTGAATGGTCAGTCTAGATGGATAAAGATTCCTGTAACAGATAAAGTCTTGGACAAGAAAGGCCCTAGAAGAGAAGCCTGAGGTCTAAATGGACACAAATTTCTCAGACCTTGGAATGGAGAGAATGGCTGAATGTTGCCCTAAAAATGGCTCTTGACAATCGGTTGGCCTTCCTCCAGGTCCTCCAAGGGTGAGCTACTCAGTCCAGAGACCCGCAAGGATCCTGGCCTCCCACGCCTCCTCCCTGGAGATGGCGTGAAGGGGGGAAGAAGAGCTTGTGCCCCAGCTAGTAAGGTGGGGGTAATGGCATTGCCTTCTCAAATGCCTCACGGAGCACCCTGCCTTGGCCTGGCACGCAGGAAGGGAGTCCCACACCCACTGCCTTGACTTTCGAAGGTATCCTTGGAATGGACTTGGAGGAAGGCTGAGAGGAAGAGAGTTGCGTTTCCAAAAGACGCTCTGGTTTCCATACTCAACCCCAAATAGTCCATCATGATGAACCCATTCAGTGTTTCCCAAACTTCCACCCCCCACTTTTGCCTTGTCTGATTATTAAGTGTACCATTTACTTAATTTTCTGTAAATAGATGTGCTTTTTTTTTAAGAGGTCCATACATTTATTTCAAAAGGAAACTTGATGCACTACAGTGAGTGGAAAATCAGCCTCTTCTTTTTGCCATAAATAGAAGGTTCTAGTAAAAATAGCAAAACAAAACTGTTGCCAGCTGGAGGTTCTCCCTGAGCCCAGCCTTGCTGTGTTTAAAAAAAAAAAAAAAGTGAGATTATGACTTTTCAAAACATATCAGCAGTAGACTGAAAGCATCTCCTTGTTGTTCTCAGGACTGCAAGGGAAGAGTATGGGAATTTTTTTTTCCTGAGGAGCTGGGAAATGTCTCTTGGGTCAGTGCCTGTGTTCCGTGGATTGAGGCTGGGAGGAGTCTTGCCCTCATGCCGTCTCCCTCTGGTCCCTGCAGTGCCCGGAAACGCCCCATCCCCTACTACCGGCCCAGCCCCTCTTCGTCCAGCGGCCTCAGCAGCACCTCCTCCTGGTACAGCCGCTCAGCCAGCCGAAGCTCTTCCCGGAGCCTGAGCCACAGCCGCAGCCGCAGCCACAGCCGCAGCCGCAGCCGCAGCCGGACCCGCACTAGCAGCAGCTGCAGCTCCCGCAGCCCCAGCCTGCGCTCGCGGAGCCGGAGCCGGAGCCGGAGCCGGAGCCGGAGCCAGAGCCAGAGCCAGAGCCGGAGCCGGAGCCGGAGCCAGAGCCGGAGCTACAGCTCAGCAGACAGCTACTCCAGCACAAGGCGCTAAGCAAAGGCCCTCCCTTGAGCCAGCTGCTTGTGGTGCCCCTTTCACTCTGCCAGCTTCCCCCACTCCCTGCCCACCCTGCCTTCTCCTCGGTACAGACATTGAGGGCTCCTGGGCCCTGTCCTTCCTGCTCCCCTGGGGGCGGGAGGAAAAGAGGGTATGGGGGCTTCAGCCTCTGTGCCGAGCTCCTAGGAGCCTCCACCACACCACCCTGGGGCTCAACTCGGGCCTGAGCATATGGAGTGAACCACCTTCTGTTGGCACAGAGAAATCTCAAAGGTTTGTAAGAAGCGATGGGTCCGTGACTCAAAAGTTTGGGTCAGGCCAGGAAAATGCAGAGAGAGCTCTGCTCACCCACTGCTGGCAGGCTGCACACGAAGGCCCGTGAGCTTCCTCACACCTGCCCTCATTCTCCTCTCATTCAGTCTCATGGCTGCATGTGTGTGGACCCTGATGGGAGTGAGGGGTGGATGTTAGAAGAGACCAAGGGCAGTTCAGGCCCAGGAGAGGGGTCAGGCCTTTCAGCTCCCCACATAGGCCAGAGCAAAAGCCAGAAGGCTGTTGGGTCCTAGAAAGGGAGACACGTGGGTAGGGGACATGGACATTTCAGTTGGGGGTAGGTGTCGGGAGATAGGAGATGGACTCTGGGGCCGTGAGTGTAGAAGCAGAAGGAGGGGGTCAGTGTGCCACTCGCAGTACGTCCACGTGGTCAGGAAGACGGGCCCAGTAGTTTCTAGCCAGGGAGAGGCCACCGCACCGTTTACACAAAATGCCTCTTGGCGGCTCACACGGACCTGGCGACCTCTGAGAACGGACACGGTGGACAGTCAGGACAGCCTGGTCTGCGGCCCCACTTCCCTCAGCCCTGTTAGCTGGCAGCAGCTTAATTCCGCGGGACCGTCTGCTGAACGTTCACCAGTGCCGTGGCCGGCTGCCAGTCCCCAGCGCCAGCCAGTCTGGCCTTACCCTCCGGTTGGCGCCTGCCTGCCCCCCTCCTCACTGCCCAGACTGCCACACCCTGGATCCTCCCCAGTGCAGCCCAGCACCCACCCAACCTCAGCCTAAGTCACCTCCTTTGCCTTTCAGGAATATTGCCAGGATGGGGCACAGCAGCTCAGGTTTGGGGGAAAAGATCCAAATGCAGCGAGTCTGGGGGAAAGGGGCTTGGACGCTCCGCAGCTCGCACTGGTTTCCGGAGTTTCTTACCAGCTCGGGAAAGCCCCACCTTCATTTCTGCCCTGGCCCCACTTTCCCCCGCCCAGGGCTGGGCAGGAGGGTAAGTTGATCTCCAGCACACAAATACCACCAGCTGCTTCAGCCATGGAAGGCCCTGAGAACTGGGGCGTGAGGGAGAAGATCCTTAAAATAAACTCTTGGGCACCCCCTCAGCAGCTGACTGGCTTTCCGGGGCCTTGCGGGTGAGTTTCCAGTTTGTGGTGGCAACAGCAGCAGGACGGGGCGTGGAGGGAGAGGGTGAAAGGGCAGCTCCCAGCTTCGGATGCTGGGACTTTGGGAAGCAGAAGCCAAACATTCTTCATCCCTTACACCCCAAGGGGGGTGGCGTGGGGTGGAGGGCAACATTTGAAAAAAAAATCCTTTTTCTTGGAAGCAGTGAAATCCTCCCTCCCGGTCTTTCCCATCACATCAGCCCGTGGGTCCAGAAACTGCCCTGCAGCTAACCGGAAAGTCCTTCCTCCACTGGGAGAGCGGGGCCAGGCGCCAGGGCGGCAGTGGAGGACCTGGCCTTTCCACAGTGCCCTCTGGCCCAGACCTGGGCCCCGCCCGCCAAGACTAATGGATGCCAGTGCTGTCACCGCAGAAGGCCCGATGGCAGGTGCCTGGGCCGGGGGCAGGCGCCCTGGGAGGGCATGTACAGCAACTGTAGATAACCCTCTTCCCCGCCCAGGAGTCCAGACTGGACCCTGGCGACCTCTGAGAACGGACACGGTGGACAGTCAGGACAGCCTGGTCTGCGGCCCCACTTCCCTCAGCCCTGTTAGCTGGCAGCAGCTTAATTCCGCGGGACCGTCTGCTGAACGTTCACCAGTGCCGTGGCCGGCTGCCAGTCCCCAGCGCCAGCCAGTCTGGCCTTACCCTCCGGTTGGCGCCTGCCTGCCCCCCTCCTCACTGCCCAGACTGCCACACCCTGGATCCTCCCCAGTGCAGCCCAGCACCCACCCAACCTCAGCCTAAGTCACCTCCTTTGCCTTTCAGGAATATTGCCAGGATGGGGCACAGCAGCTCAGGTTTGGGGGAAAAGATCCAAATGCAGCGAGTCTGGGGGAAAGGGGCTTGGACGCTCCGCAGCTCGCACTGGTTTCCGGAGTTTCTTACCAGCTCGGGAAAGCCCCACCTTCATTTCTGCCCTGGCCCCACTTTCCCCCGCCCAGGGCTGGGCAGGAGGGTAAGTTGATCTCCAGCACACAAATACCACCAGCTGCTTCAGCCATGGAAGGCCCTGAGAACTGGGGCGTGAGGGAGAAGATCCTTAAAATAAACTCTTGGGCACCCCCTCAGCAGCTGACTGGCTTTCCGGGGCCTTGCGGGTGAGTTTCCAGTTTGTGGTGGCAACAGCAGCAGGACGGGGCGTGGAGGGAGAGGGTGAAAGGGCAGCTCCCAGCTTCGGATGCTGGGACTTTGGGAAGCAGAAGCCAAACATTCTTCATCCCTTACACCCCAAGGGGGGTGGCGTGGGGTGGAGGGCAACATTTGAAAAAAAAATCCTTTTTCTTGGAAGCAGTGAAATCCTCCCTCCCGGTCTTTCCCATCACATCAGCCCGTGGGTCCAGAAACTGCCCTGCAGCTAACCGGAAAGTCCTTCCTCCACTGGGAGAGCGGGGCCAGGCGCCAGGGCGGCAGTGGAGGACCTGGCCTTTCCACAGTGCCCTCTGGCCCAGACCTGGGCCCCGCCCGCCAAGACTAATGGATGCCAGTGCTGTCACCGCAGAAGGCCCGATGGCAGGTGCCTGGGCCGGGGGCAGGCGCCCTGGGAGGGCATGTACAGCAACTGTAGATAACCCTCTTCCCCGCCCAGGAGTCCAGACTGGACTCCAGTCTCCATGGAGACAAAGGCTTTCTGGAGCCACAGAACCTCCTTAGCAGGACAGCAGTGAGAGACCCAAGAGCCGGCCCTCCGGTCCGGACTGCCTTCATTCAAGCAACTCTAGGGGATCATTTTGCGGGGGTGGGGGGGGGCTCCTAGCAAACCTCTTATTTATTTATTTATGGTTATTTATTTATTTATTTATTTATTTATTTATTTATGGGATTCTCGCTCTCTCAGTTGCCGTTAGCGGTATTCAAGTATTTCCTTATATGGAGAGAGGTGTGTGTGTGTCTGTGTGTTTGGGGAGGAGGGGGAACTTTACAGTATTTCTGTGCGTCTCTCTTTTTTTTCCCTCATGTCTCCATGGATGGGATTTGAGAGGCTGGATGTGGATGGGAATGTTGGCCTTTTCCCTGAAGGGGAGACTCACAGAGCTCTAAGCTTGGAACACCCTGGAGGTGGCCCGGAAGCACTGCAGACCAAAGGTTCATGACTAAGTCCACGTCGGGTGAGGTTCAGCCTGCGCTCCAGCCCCCTGCCCCCCAGCTACCTAACTGAGGTACCAGAAAGATGAAGACAGTCAAGAGGCTTACGAACCTGACATGGTAGAGTCACAGCTGACATGGGGCTTAGAGTCTAAAGTTAGCATGTAAGGCAAAAGCTGCAGAGTCTAAATCACCTGTGAGAGTCCTTTCGGGAGGCACCCAATGTGAGACAGATGTGCACATCTTAATCTCACCCTTGTTCCAGGGCACACAGTTAGTGGGTGAGATCATTTGCTCTTCTGAGCCTACCTAGTTGGTTTCATGTAAGTTAACACATGCTTCTGACTGCCCCTCAGCTAATTTCTCCCCATGCCCTGAGAGCTCAAGGCTGCTCTGTGGACAAGCCTGCCTTGTGACGAGGTTATCGGCCATCCTGGGAGAGACACACAAACCCAAAGCAAAAGCCTTTTTCTGTGATCTCAGAAGAGAGCGCACAACTATTTCTGAAATTAGAAAACAACAAACAAGATGAAAGGAGCAGCCGGAGGTTCCCACCAAGAAGGTCATTTTGGAACCTGTCCTGGGAACCAGGATCCAGAGGTCTTGACCAGCCCTGCCTCTCTGACCAGCTAGCAGTGTCTTCTGGCTGCTGGCTGGAGAGGGCTCCTGCCCTTTCCAAAGGCGCTCTTCACTGCCTTGACATGGCCAGCTTGCCTGGTCCAGCTTTGGGTTTGGTGAGACTTTTGCAACATCCCTGATTGTTTCCCTGGCAATGTGACTTTACTCTGCCCTAACTCAAGCAAGGGAGTACCCCTAGCCTGGGAAAGTTTGCAAGAGCTTAAATGCCTCCTGGGAGAAAAATCTGTCCCCTCCCTGTCACTTGGTGTGTTTCTTGAATCTCCTTTACATTTCCTTTTTTTCCATCCAAAAATAAAACTGTGGGGGGGGGGGGCCGCTGGTAAACCTTGTTTAACCAGAACCCCCGATCCCTGGCACTGCCGTTCCTCTGCCTAATTCACCTTCATTACACTTCTGCTTCCAGGGAATAAGACAGATTGCCTGAAACCTGCTCATGGTGAGGACTTATTTGTAAAAGCAGTATGGAAAAAGGGAGGGAGATGTGGTTTGAGGTCAAGCAACATTCAGCCCTTCGCCCTTCCTGCTATGGATAGTCGCTAGATGAGTGGAGCTAGGCAAGTTGCTTCCTTTCTCTGGGCCAGAGTTTCCACCTTTGAGTAGTGGAGGAGTCTTTGAGATACAACCCTAAACGTTGACCTGAGGCCTGGGCAATTCTTCAAAGACAGCGTGAGTTCACTGAGACTTAGAGAAAAAAGGAAAACATCCTCAAAGATTTTTAGGAGTTTCTCAATCATGAGAATAAAACCTAAAAGCAATATGTGAACTCCCTTCAGTTGATTCAGAAAAGCTAATTCAAATCCCCCACCCAGGGACATTCTAGTTCATCCAGGTTG